GAAGCTCCAGACGGGCTTGGATGGACTCAACACACTCTTGAGCGAAAAACAGACTGCATCTACATCTAACGACGACATGCTTGCTGCTCTCAAGGCGGAGTTTGAAACCTTCCGGGAGACCTTGGGCAGCTCAGTCGTCAAACAAGACGATTCAGCAAACAAGGACGAGATTGTCAATGCTGTCCGAGAGCTTCTTGATGGATTGCACACCTCTCAGGAGACCACTTCAAAAGATAACCTGGCTCTTATTCGCGGAGAGCTAGAAACATTGAAGGAGTCATTCAGCAACGCTCTTGTGCCCAGTGGGGATAATGATAAAGCTGAGATGATGATGACCGTGAAAACTGCTCTCGATGAGATCAAGGCCAACCTGTCAGCTGCCAGTGTCAATGAAGAGCTCCTCGAGGCTATCAGAGGGGAGCTTGAGCATGTGCACAAATCCAATAGTCTGATCCAGCAACACTCGCGCGCCGACACGGAAGAAGTATTGGAGGCTGTCAAACTAGGCCTTGATGATCTTCAGTCCCACATCGACAAGAAGTTCAACACTCCTCCTGAGCGCAATGGCCCTGCTACTGACGAGATCATCGATGCCATGAACGAAGGCATTGAGAGCTTGCGAGCCGACGTCTCCAAGATTGTTGAGAAGCCTGTGGATATGAGCGTGTCTCACGAAATCCTAGACGTTCTCAAGGACGGCCTTGCCGCTTTGCGCGCTGACGTAGAGGCGTTGAAGGGTACCCATCACAGCACTCAGCCTGCACAGGAGGTCGCTCCTGCGCCCGCGGGTAACGAGGTTGCTCTAGTGGACAAGCCGGATGGCGAAGAGACCACGTCACGCGAGATCTCTCAAGACGTAGTAAAGGACGTAGTACAGGAGGATGCGGCACCGCAGCCCGTCGCCCAATCGCTGGATGTAGCCAAGATGGAGCGCCTCCTTACCCAGATTCAGGACAAGGTTCAAGCTATGGATGCCAACGCCAATGCCAACGCCAAGGACGTAGCACCACCTTCAGAGCCAGCAGTTCCCGCTGGAGCTGCCATGAAGGAAGATCTTGCCGCCATTGAAGAACTCCTCAAAGACGTCCAAGCTGCTGTTCTGCTCATGCAGGATCGTGAGACATCACCGCCTGCGCTCGAGGGTTTGGCCAAAAAGGAAGATACAGATGCGATCGAAACTCTGCTTGCAAATACCAAAGCCAAGATCGAAGAGCTTGTTCTCCCAGACCCTGCTACTACTGTCACCAAAGAGAACCTGGAAGATGTCGAACTCGTAGTCCGGACGACATCTGAGACTTTGGATGCACTTGCAAAGAAGTTTGAAGAAGAAGGTGCTACCAAGGCAGATGTTACCGTCGTTCAGGTGCTTGCGGACGATATCAAGGTTGCTCTAGATGAGATGAAGGCCGCAAAGTCAGAGGACGAAACCAACCCCCAGGCCACCAAAGCTGATATCGATGCTGTGACCCTTCTCGTTGACGATCTCAAAGTCAAACTGGATGACATGAAAATCCCGGACCCAGAAGAGCTCGCATCCAAGGCCGAACTGGAGCAGCTGACTGGACTCATCCATGACTTCCGCGACAGCCACGAAAAGATGAAAGACACCTATGAAGCGGATATCCAGAAAACAGCTACCAATTTTGATGAGCGTCGTGCTGAGGCCACTCAAATTGTTGAGGATATCAGTGGTGTCAAGGCTGCTTTGGATGAGATGCGAGAGGAAATTAAGACCAGCCTTATCGAAGGTGGTCCTATTGAAAACCTCCAGGCATCGTTCAAGATCATGGAAGAAACTATTGGTGCCAACAACGTCACTGCTGATGTCAAGGAACTAATGGAAATTCTCACCAGGGAGTTTGAGCGTGCCCATGGCTCCATTGAGGGACTACAGAACGACAGTGCCGAAAAGTCAGCCCTCCATCTCGAAAAGCATGACGAAACCAAAGAGGCCGTTGTTGCTGCCTTCACAGAGCGCCTGGAAGACAAGTTCAACACACTCATGGCCAAATACGACGATGCTCAACTCCTGGCTGACGAGCTTGCCAAGGTCATGAAAGAGAAGTCTGAAGAGCAGGAGAAGATGCTTGAAAGCACCAAGACGACAGCGGATGAACTCCGTCTAACTATCGACACTCTTGGCGCCACCATCGCTGGGATGAACGACCGATTCGAAGGTGCTACTACGCAATGGTCCACTGATTCTACGACTGTACTTGGCAAGGTCGACGAGACTCTCACCAAATTTGACGAACAGAAGCTCGCCACGATGGAGAAACTCGAAGAACAGAAGGCTGAAACCATCGCGAAGCTGGAGGAACACATTGCCAAATTCGAAGAACTCAAGCTCGAGGATAAGACAGAGCATTCTCATACGCGCGACGAGATCAAGAATGTTGAGTCAATCTTCAACAACATCCAAGACAACATGACCGAGTATCATCCCAAATTCATGGTCGCATTGCACGAAATCGAAGAGTTAGTCAAGGCCCATTACGAACACGCGCAAAAGTGCAAGGAAGAGGCAGACGAGCATGCCAGGGCTTGGGATGAGCAGGCAAAGGCTAGATCTGAAGAGTTACAGGCCCATTTCGAGAACTTACCCAAGCTTCTGCCAGCACCTGCTCCTGAGTCGCAGGAGAAATATGACGATGGTCCTGTGCAAGAGAAACTTGATAAACTCCTCGCCATTGAGCCATCACCTAGTTACAATGATGGTCCTGTGCATGAGAAGCTTGATAAGCTGCTCGCGATCGAGCCACCGCCAAATTACGATGACAGTCCTGTGCACGAGAAGCTTGACAAACTCCTTGGTCATGCCGATGAAGCTAGCAAAGCAGCCTCAAATGCCGAGAAACTGGACGAGATTCACAATCAAGTCAAGATCACCGCTGCTGAGCTCAGTGAGTTTGTCGCCAAGCAGACTCAATTCATCACCGATGGCAACGATGCCAAGGAACGCGAGGCTGAAGAGTTGTCTCTACTCATCGAACGCAGGACAGTGCAGAAAGAGCAACTCGAAATTGACCTGGAGAGCCTCAGGGCTGAAAAGGCCACTCAGAAGGAGCAGCTTCTCGCAGACATCCAGGAGATGAAGGCTGAGAAGGAGAAGGTTGTTCAGGAGCTCAAAGAAGAGAAGGAGCGCGTCATGATTGAGCTGCAAAACGAGAAGGATCGCACTATGGCGGAGTTGAAGGAAGAAAAGGATTCTCTCTTGGCTGCTGTTGCAGCACTTCAAGCAGAACGCGAGAATCTGGCCAATCAAAAGGTGCGCCTCACCGGAGAGGTCTCTTCTCTCCATACTGCGCTCGAGATCCGCCGAGAGGAACTGCACATCATGGATACCAAGGCAGATGCATTGGAGCGCCGCATCTTGAATGGCATTATGGATCACTCGCGTGCTTTGATGATGAACAAGAATGGCTCGAAGAGCCCTTCAAAGCTAAAGAAGCGCATGGGCACCGATGTCGGCACGGAAGAGAGCAGGGGAATGCCACCTCCCAGCACTGCAGCGAATGGTATCTCCCTTGCACTCAAGCCTCGTCCCGCCATTCGACGCAATGGTCAGCCTGTCAACCCAAGCCAACGCAGAATCTTGTCTCTCAGTCAGATTAGCGGAAACACGCCAACAGGAGCGCAAGCCTATCCAACCACGACTGCCTCGAACGATGCCAACGCTAACCTGAAGCGGAGCCACTCTGTTAAAACCAGCAACTACTCTCGCAAGGGATCTTGGGGTGGACGACCCAGTGCCGTCGTTGCCAACAAAGAGAACACTGTCTTGCCTGAAGTTGACGAGAACGAAGCCTTGGACCCCATCTCGCATGATGTGATCGAAGAAGATGCACAAAGCGAGACTGGTACTGAACGCCGCTATAGCGTCGACGACTACCCTGAGAGCTACGCCGAGGGTGAGACGCCTGGCTATGATGGACGTTCGAGCTTCGGCGGCACAGGCAGCGAGTACACCTATGCTTCTGGAACTTCCTACATGACAGGTAGTGATATTGACCAAGACCGTCGCACATCGTATGGTGCCCGTTCTACTCACTCTACCGCTCGTGGTCCAGAACCAATCAACGAAGATCCTGAAGGTTCTGAAGGTTCGCAATATTCGGATGAAGAGGACAATGAACCGACCGCTATCCTTGACCCATCTGAAGTCAACTCCTCCGTGATCACAACCGCCACTGCCGACAGCGAGGTCGACATGCCAACACAGTCAGAGATTGTTCGAGCCGTTGACGCTGTCAAGGCGGAGATGAAGGAGAACTATTCTCCTCCTAGCGACTCTGGCGTTGGCACTGATTTGGCTACTGCCGCTCTTGAGAACGAGCCAGAGCACGATGCTGACTACTTCCGCCGTGCAGCCGAGGAGGAAGCAAGTGTCGTCGGCGAAAGTGTCGTTGGTGAAGCGAGTGTCGCTACCTAAGCAAGTATCTTCACATGTCGGCGCTGTTGCTCCAAGCAGTCTTTAACCTACCGTCTCGCTCCGTGTCTTTCTCAGTTTGAAGCTTTGACTCGCCTCTGTCGAGGTTTAAGAGTTGGCATCGCTAGCGATATGCGTCGAGCTTGACGACGGCGAAGCTTGTGATACCAGCAATGCGTAGCACTTTGGATACGCTCTTGGACGGGCTGAACTCTCCTTTCTTATTTCGGTGTAGGATGATTGGGTATGGGGGTTCTGTGTATGAAGAAATAGGGGCATATGGAATTGCTTCATGATAACTGGGCACGAGTGATGTGTATTGGTACGACTGATTTTGCTAATGGCGTTATGACTTTGGCAGATAGATGGGCTCGCAGTCTTTTTGTTTTGTTTTGTTTTCTTCTTGTATGATACAGCACCTTCCGCTTACGGGAATTTGGTCTTGTTTGGAGCGGCGCAAGTATCAATTAAATAGGGCTCACTTTACGAATGTTATAATGAATGGAACTGAATTTCTCAAACTGGAGCCTTCTTCTTGTGATACAACATGACATTGAAACTCTGTGATATTAAACATGTACTTCTATATCCGCTCACAAAAAATTAAAAAAAAAATCCAAAACAGATCAAAGGAGGCATGTACTATTTCTTCTCCCACATCATCGTATTACAAACGCCATGTAAGAAACAAAACGCGAAAGGGGCTCTAGACCGCTCATAACCTGTTTTCGTACCAACATTTCTCTTCTTCCCTTCCTCTGTCTCACTCACACAACACGGACTTCATCTCTTCATTTACTGCGTCACAGCTCTCAAACCCTGCAGCACCAGGCCAAACATGACACCCCTGGCGACTCTTTGATCCTGCAAACAGTCAAACACCTTCCCGAGCGCCTCACCACTTGCCGCCTGACCCATAACACTCGTCAGCGCCTGCGGCATGCCCCTCTCGACGAGCAACTTCCTCGCCTTAACTCTGAGCTTCTCTTTTTCCTCCTCAGACATGGGTTCGGGCCACGTCTTGAGCTCGTCCTCGGTGGGAAGTCCGTTCTCGCGGATCTTGCGGATGTGGTATGCGATACCTGTGTCGGAAGTGTTGTCGTCGAAGACGGTGGTTTGGAGGAGGGAAGTGATGGAGGATAATTGGGGGTTTGAAGGCCGGAGTAGGTAGGTTTTGGCGGCATTGAGGAGAGTGCGGCGGAGGGTCCAGGCGGAGGAGAGGGTGTAGAGTTCCTGGATGACTGCGAAGAAGAGCTCGATTACGACGGTTGTTTCTGTTTCGGAAAGAGGTGTGTATGTTGGCTCTGTGCGGGTCCTCCTGAGTGCGGATTTTGAGGGCGATGATGGAGTGATGGATGTTGTGGAGGTACGGCGGGGCAGAGAAGGCGTAGAGTCTATGGATGTCCGTGATGGCTTCTGGCTGTGTGTGGGCTCGGGGGGATCACGCGACATATAATCGTCTGGAATCTCGCTGGGCATAGGTGGGAGATTCAAGATTTGATCACCACCCATCATAGGGCTGAGGTCTTCAATCTTGCCATGAGTACTTGGAGCACGACTGTTGGTCCTTGAGCCGTATCTCGACGATCTTCCGGAGCGCTTGCCGTCACCCTCAGGATTGCAAGAAGGCCGTCGTTCCATGGGCGCTTCTCGCGTTGGTTGTTGATCGATAACAGGAGAATTTGGATCCCGCACTGAATCCATTGATGTGCGCTTAGTTGCTACTAGAGATAGGGTACTCTCTGAACGAATATGTGTAGGCAGCTCGGAAACTGTTGACTGTGCCCTATCTCGAGTCTGGGTAGGCGCTGTTGAAGTTGAAGTGCGGCTGAGAGCAGGGCTTGCAGTAGTAGTCGGAGTGCTGGTAGCATTGATGACTGAGTCACGGTTCTTCTTTCCTGACAATGGTGCTGTTACACTGTTCAAGACTCCGCTGACTCCACCGAAAAGCGCTTTGCCACCGCCAGCGACCTCCTTGGGGGCTTTTGTCAATACACCCAGCATACCTTTGCCCACCGTATCGAAAGTCTGGCCTGCCCAGTTCATTCCAGGGAAGCCACCGCCAGGAGACTTTCCAGAACCGAGTTCTTTGTCCAAAAAGCGTTTCATGCCCTCACTTTCAGCAAGTGATTGGTATTGCACAGCATCATTCAGGTAGCGTTCGAGCTCTCCGCGAAGAGATGCCTTGGTATGACCTTTCCAGGTTGGCAACGAGGGGTGTGCTTCGCTGAATCCAGTCGCTCCGGTGATGGCTGCTATGCGACGCATGACTTCATGTAGAGTCTCAAATTCGCTGTACTTGCGTGCTGTCATCCATCCTGTGTGGTGATTGGACTTTGGCTCAATTTGGATCAAGTACTCTGCAGTTGGCTTGCTCTTGATGTTGCCCTTTTCACCAGGCATACTGTCATCAAAAATCGACATTATACTGTTGTGCAGTGTCAATGGTGGCGGCCTTTCGGCAGGCATGGGGTTGTCCATCAATGCGGTTGGTGGCTGGGGCAGCACGAGTTGATCAAAGCTAGTAAATGCCTGCTTCGCCTCCTCCTCTTTTGCTCGCTCTTCGGCCAGTTTCGGTAGAGGTGATGATGGGCTAGAAAGACCTGAGATGCCCAAGTCGTTAGGCTCAAAGTCAGCATGTGTATCGCTGCCTGATGATGACGGGGTAACGATGCCCTGAGTGGTGCTCTCGGACTGATCATCATTCAGCGTCGAAGTGGATGCGCTTTGCCTGTATTGTTCTTGGAGGCGTTTTGCGTCCTCCTCAGCAATCATCTGGCTCAAACGCTGAGCTTCCCGCATGGCATCATCCATGGCTTCCTGGGCCTTGCTGACGACACGCTTGTGCTCCTTCTTTTCAGCGAAAGACATGTCTCGGCTATGCGGTGTTTTTTCTGCATCCACTGCGGCATTTGGTAATTGTCCAGATGAGCCCTCAACGCCTGCATCGATGGCATTCAGAAGTTCAGGCTCGCCTGCTTCTAAGAGTTGGACAATCCATCCATTAATCCATTCGGGCTTGGAACAGCTCATGACAATCATTTCCAGGACAAGTTTGGCCAGTATCTGATGCAAGAAGATGCGTGCTGGCGCGCAATTGTATGTCTTCGGATCCAAATAGTTCTGGAGTATGTCCTCTGCGGCTACGCTGAACTGCTTCATCTGGTAGTCTGGATCGAGTATGTTGGCCAGCGTGCTATCCCGCTTCATCTTTAGGTACAGATCAACTGCCTCCGTTGGAAAATCGCCAGGGGACGCCTGTATGGCGGTGACAATCTCCTGCAGCAGAATGATGATAAAGGACGAGGAGCGCGTCACAAAGTCAACAAAGTTGTCTGCTGGTCTCTTACGGGAGACATGTGCGGATACGGAGAGCACAAAAGCGGTCAAGGTCTGGCGGCACGAGTTGGGAAAGGATTCTTCGGTGGGCAGTAGGGGCGAGTACCACCACCTGCAGTATATTAGAAGTGTATCTACGAAAGACTGCGCAGAGGACATACTTGACATAGTCACGAATGACTGCATCCGTCAGCTCCGTCAGCGCAGCCGCCGTCTCCGGCCTGAAGTCGGAGTAGTCGAGCTTCTTGCCCGAGTACAGCTGCACATTGAGGTCGTAGCTATCATGCTTCTCGGCCGTGTCATGAAGAGAGTGAGAGTTTCGCCAGTCGAGGACGCGCTGTGCTATGTCGGCGCCCAGCTCGCGTTTCCTGGCCTCAGCACTCTTTCCCCGTCCGCCCTGGACGTCGCTGTGGTAGCCCTCCCATGTTGCATGTAGGACCACGCCGCCCACGACGCCTATGAGCACCAGGCCGACGCGTCCAAGTATGAGATAGGTACCAGCGCCCAGGCCAGCGAGACAAGCGCCCAGCGTCTCATTGCTAGCCGTTGCCAAGAAGTGTAAGGCGCGGTCGGTGAGAGCCTTGAGGTCGATACTGGCTTCTGCCTGGGGCTCTGCCTTGGAGAAGGATGCCGCGACTACGGCCTCGGGGCTCTCTGGTGTTGCAGCGATGCCGTCCAGCGGCGAGTCAGTGGCATGAGCATGCTCGATTGCGGGCTCGGTTTGAGGCGGGTTCGGGGGAGCAGGAGTATCAACGGTGTCGGGCATGGTCATGGTGGGAACATTGGGCTTTGCAGTAGTGGGAAATGTCCAGGCCTGCCGTGAAGCATAGTCCAGCGCGGCAGACTGGATATACTTTGTATGTGGCGGCCTCGAACCGCTCATGGGGCTCGCCTGGCCGTTTCACTCGTACCAGTAGAGGCCGCGAAAAAGTAACGCCGCCCCGGCCCCGGGCGTCCATCCAAATCTCCCCCAGCTTCATTCTATCCGAACATACTTTAATCCCCGGCCTGCCCCGCCCCACCCAGCAAATCTTGCACCCCCTTCCCGCCATCCTCTGCTATGTCTAGCGACGCTCCCAACGACCCCGAAGCTCTTGCTCATGTCGACAAGTTTTGGGAGGACCGCAAGCCAAGCAGTCCGATCTACCAGTTTCTTCTTTCTGATCTCAAACTGACTTATGCGGCTAAGGGTGTCGTGCGCGCACGGCTATCCTTGACCAACAACCACGTCAACACCCATGGCAGTATACACGGCTCAGTGTCAGCCACCATCATAGATGCTTTTGGAGGATTGGCAATCGCTTGCTGGGATAATCGCTCAAAGACCGGCGTCAGTACTGACATCCACGTTTCGTATCTTAGTGGAGCAAAGGATGGCGATACTATAGAAATTGAGGGCAGGGCTAGCAAAGTCGGCGGCACCCTTGCCTTTACCAGCGTGACCATCTGGAAGCTAGTCGACGGCAAGCCTGGCCCGATAGTTGCCACGGGCTCACATACCAAGTTTGTTAAAGTCTAAAGAACCCCGTCCACGGTTCGACTGTAGACACGCCATCTTCTTTGAGGTCTCGTCCTGCTCTCCCATGGACGATCGAACTCCACTCGGATCGCGAAGAGTAAATTGGCCCTCGTGTTACGATTCTGTGCCTAGCCACAAGGCAACGACAGCATGGACGTGCACGGGAGTCATACATACCACATACATAGACGATGCATGCTATGAATACTTATGAATTTCCCCGTCTCCGTCATGCACGTATAGTACGCGTCAATTCACTATAGCCACGTGACACTGGCCATATGTGGCTCGAGCAACCACAAAGTCCCAAAGCACAAGCCACAATCTCTTGTCGGGCCTCCTATTATCCGACTGTGCACGACATGGGTGAGTGTGTCATTGTGTTTCCATGCCTAATTCTCTTTATAGGCTATGAAACTGCTACATAAAGACAGACTACCATGCCATCCCTATCGTCCATAAGTACTTTGAACAGCGCCTAGCACACATCCATGACATCCACCGCCCTAAGCAGACAAACCACTATCCGATCTACACGCTCATGCACGACCAAAACTAACACCTGCCTTGTTTTGCCGTCCAGCCATCATAGGCAATACCTTGACATCGAACCCATCCTCGTGCAAACTAGCCACAACATCATCCCTAAATTCCACCAATTCCCACAGCAGCGTCTGGAAGAACCCGACCCGAAGAAGTTGGTTTACCTTTGCCTTGACCAGCTCGAGCGCCGCCTGACGCAACGCGTCCCCGCAATACAGTGTATTCCGCCAGATAAGTACTAGAGAATCGAGAAAGGAATTCACAGCCGGAGAAACAATGCCATTGGTCTGGTTGACATATATACCGCTCGTGTCCAAAATCATGCGTGCGATATCGGCGTATTGGTCAATAGCATAACCGCACAGCCTGCGCACGTCGTACTTGGCACCCACAACGTAAGTATGGACGTGTAGATCAAGGAGCGTCAAGTTGGGGTACTGGGTGCGCGCCGCAGGATCGAGCACGTACATGCCGTGTTCTAGGAAATGGACCATGGCAATAATAGCGAGAGGGAAGTCGTTGCGCAGGCGGAGGCAGGGCGTGCAGCCAGGGGTGTAGGTGCCGGCGAGTATGAAGGCGAAGAAGCGGGATGAGAGCATGAGAAGGTACTTGTTGAGTTTCAAGACCTTGTGGCCTTTGTCAAAGATGATGAGAATGTCGTTGGGTTGGAGGGTGGGGAATGGGCTGTGCTGGAGTTAGGATACGCACACGTGGGTAAAGGTGGAGGGGAGAGGTTACTTACTACTGTAGAGATTGTGATGCGACTGTGGAAATACTTGTACGAGCTGCAGTAATTGACCACTCGATATGATCCGGGAGCATTGTTTCTGAAGTGTCGTAGAGTGAGAGGTCCTGAAAGTGCAGAGCAGTCGAAGCAAATCCGCCATCATGGCCTGGGTAGACAGATGCCGTGTTTGGATCTTCGAAGATATGTGGTCCAGTGTAAGCACCTAATCCCGCGATGTCATTAAGATGAGAGCTGGAGTCGAGAGGAGATGAGTCCATTTGAAGCTGTTCTGGTTCCCGAAGGATTATGCCTTGTCCACTGTCTTGCAACACCTCAGAGATACAAGGAAGGGATGGCTGACGTTCGAGGAAGTAAGGGCCAAGCGGTAGTCTTGTATTCTGGGAACTGTGCAAAAACTCCACATCTGCTTCAGCATCAAAAAACGGAGTACTGTTTTCTATATCGGTGCCAAACAATACTGCAGGTATGTAAGAGGGTCGAGAAGAAGCAGAGGAGTCAGCGACGCTACGCAATGTTTTACGATATTGGTCGTTGGAATGCTGAAAAGCGCTGCTGTAGACGCGCTTACTTCCTCTCTGGTCCATTGTGGCGGGCTACAGCGCAAACTGTACTGTAGGAAGCATGTGAGGGTAAGCTGTTCTTCGTCGATGGTTTGCAAATGTTGACCAAACGTGAACGCGAAACAAACGCGAACGGAGAAATCTGACCACGCCTGGTGAAATGAGAAGCCCGCCTAGTACAAGCAGCCTGGTGAAGGTGAGGTCATGGTTCTCAGGGACCAAACGATCGCTTCCATCACAACGGCGGATGAACGTTTTCTCAAACCCTCCAACGAGATCCCATCTCATCAAACAGCTCTGCTCTGAACTCTGGAAACTCTTCCATAGACTCGTACACGAGAGCCATCTTCTTACCCGTGTCATGGATGAACGCTTGCACATGATCTGCGCACAGCTTCACCATGACGTTTCTCAGCGCATCGCCGTTTGCAATACGATCCGGGGCAAAAATAGCGCGGATTGCAGACTGCAGCTGGTCTTCTTGACCATCTTCATTCAGCACTACGATGGCGAGATCTTTGAACTTTTCCATGGCAATTGCTTTCAATCCAGCAACCCCGTACCGCTCTGCCAGCATGTACACATTGACATGTGAGCGCAGAGTGGCGGGCTCGGGTGCTTCATCATCCGAGATAGACAGTTGGTCATAGTCTAGTTGATAGCAGTATTGCATCATTGCTGCGACTGCAAGGGGGTCATCTGCGCTTAAATCAATTGCGCCTCTTGATGATTTCTGCAGGTGTCAGCAAAATTACAGTAGAAGAATGGGTCAGCGTACAGGAGACATGACAATGGCGCACACTCTAGCAAACCATCGTGAGTGGTAGCACATAATTTCTCGGTCGCAGTTGTACGTCCGGTTTCGGCATTGAACAACCAGATCAGAAGTTTTTACTTCTACTGGAGGTGGGGGCGGAGGGATGTCAATAGGTGCCGGCATGCAAGGCGCTGGGGCTATGATAGGAGATGATGTGGGTAGGGGCGCACTTTCCCGATGAGGGTGTTTACGTTTCTGAAGCAGCCGGCGAGTAAAGGATCCATTGGAAAGCGTTTTGCGATGTTTAGGACGGGGGCTGTCTTGTACAACAGAAGTCATGGAAGACGCTGCAGTCGATACGGTGGAGGATGTGGAGTCCCGCCGATCCAGAAACCCGAAGGAGTCATCTGAAGAAGCAGAGGATGTTATGGATGGCGCAATGGGCGACATTCCATCATTTGGCCCCTTGCATGGTGTGTCAACCCTATGAATCCATTAGCATTGAGATTAGATTCCTTGCGAAGATGCTACATACACATTGCGAGTCACCAGCACAGGGACAGCGAACATTTTGACGACGAATGTCAATGTCAGTTGCAAGCCGAACAGCAGTACGGTAACCTGGGTCGGTGGATTGAAGTGCAGACGGAAACAAATATGTTAGATATTAGATATGCAACCCATGCTACGGCTGTATGCGTACACCACTGGAAGAACGGCCGTTAGCCTCCGAAAATGTAGAGTGCGAGATTGGTGTTTTCATATAAAGCTAATTCAAAGAGCGAATGGCAGTAAATGGATAGATTAACCGCAGCTCCACCTGACCCGGCACTATGCGGCTCATGGATGGCGACTTTAATACCGATGGATGCATTAGTGGAACAAAAGAGCCGGCTGGGGAAGAGTGTGGGGTAGTTGGCGCGGTGTTTTTCTGGGAATTGGGTCAGCAGATTGGGAACTGGATACCGCCTTCCCCAGCATTATAGAGGCGCCTTCCCTAAACGTGGGTAGTCGCATTGACGTCCTTATCGCGATATGCGTCATCCACAGTCAAAACCGCCCCGCTGCAGTGCCATACGTAGCAAATCTGCTCATGGGCAGTGAAGGTAGTTGCGGTAACATGGATTTCCTCGCCCTTCGCCCTACTACGGCAACATGGCTAAAGTAAGGGAATATAAAGCCCGGGATACGTTGACCGTCCGGCCGGACCTCGGACAGTTCACAACACCTTATTACATAAACATTGCGTTTGAGCGCAGAGTCCTCCTCTTTCATGGCCAACTTTACGAGTCGTGTTCTTTCTGCTGAAGATTTCGCAGATAATGCACAGATTGTGGACCAGGTGCAGATACGCGCCGGGTCCCACAGCATAACCTGCGAGACGGATTTGCTTAATAGTACTAGTACATGTCAGGGCAATAACAACCATCTTCTTTCCATTCATAGTTAAAGGTGGCGAATCACGGGCACACGTGCTTGGATTCTATCTTGGCGGACCTGTTAGCCCTCTTTCGCTCACAACAGCTGCTTGTTTTGTAAGAGAATCCATCTTATCCTAGGCCCGAAAAGGACCAACAACCGACAAACGCGGTTGGCGTGGATATTTCTTCACAATGGGACTAGGTGAGATATGAAGTCTGACAAGGAGAAAACATGGGTGCAACTTGACGAGATCAACAAGAGCAATATATAGCGCTGACCCCAAGAACCGCGATATTGTGCCCTTCGGTCTTGGATCCTTCTAAACGTCTCAAGTAAGGTTCCCTTCAGTGACGAAACCAGCCCAAGGGTGTTTGAGTAGTATATTGCGCGGATAACAAAGGTGAAACAGCTGGAGAGAGTGGTGACAAAAACAAGGACGAATACGAGGACATAGAGTAATTCGAGGAAACAAGTGTACGTTCCTCCTGATGAGAAGACTAACCGAGCGCTGTATAAGACCGAATGCGCATACAACGACTCATCCACATAGGGATCGACTTTTTTTTTCTTTTCCTATATGCCATGCGTAAGTTGTAGTAGTACTAAGTATAGTGCACTGTACATACACGCATACGTAATAGTAGTACTGTTATGCTACAGCATTGCACAGACCACAGGGTACGTCAGGTCTGACAGCACGTGATGCAAGACATCAATCGGTGCTCTCCGACCACATGACGTTATGCGTAACGTAGTACAAAGAGAGGTTGCACAGGGCGATGTCTTCGGACCCAGCCGGCCCACCCAATCAGCGGCTCGACGATAACGCTGACACCGACGTCAACCGCATTATCCCTGCAAATCTGGGGAATTAGCTTCAAACCGGACCATACAAGGCCCATGGATGAGCTCTATCAAAACTCAATATCCATACCGCTATCGTCTTCTCTTTTCTCGTCTGTTCTCCTCGTTTCCCCTCAAAGACACCTATTAGCTCCAAAGTACCCAACAACACCAACCAATACCACAACACCTCAACACCCCATCACAGCTCCATCTCCAAAATGTCGTGCCCAGTCATTGGTACAACTTCCGACACCCTCCCTCCAAACCACCCCTCCATAGACCTTAGCAAGGACGGCCAAACCGTACGCAACCCCCACCCATCCCACCAACCACCATCCTTTAAACCAAGCCCTCCCCGCACCCTATATTAACATCTCTACGCATACAGTGCCCCGTCGTAGGCGCAAAAACCGACCACCACCACAACCTGCACTCGCACCCTCCAGTCCCCACCAACGAGACGACCGCAACCGCGTGTCCCGCCCTCAAGAACAACGTCATCAAGCAGCCGCGTGCCCAAGAAATGGACAACGCTCTATGCCCTATCGTCGGCACGGCTACAACCATCCTTCCTCCTGACCACCCAGATATGCTCAAGGCGAACGAGGGCGACGTCTGCCCTGTTACCAAGGCGACGGTCGGACACCACAAGGACAAGGTTACTACGCACCCGAGTGTAGAGGCTGCCAGGGATGGCGCTGTGTGCCCTGGTATGTTTTTACCCCATCTGCTAAACGAATACAGTGAATCACGTACTGACGCCTTTCCTTTTTTTTCCCCAATTCTAGTTACGGGACAGAGGCAGCAGCTTGCGTAGGTAGAATTCATATACCTGACTGCTTTGACCTTAGGGGGATCTTGGTTCTTTGGCTGGCGTTTGGATTAGGATACAGGAAATGAAATTCAATGAATTTACTGATTCCGCATGCATAAACCGTTTCTTTTTCATCTTGCGTTGTACTCAAAATAAAGCTTGAATGCTGTGATACCGACTAGCCCCTGTAGCCCACCTTTGATTGGACTACCATGCAATCTCGGACATAGCTCCTAGAATTGGGTTTCTCGTTGGTCGATTCGTACGGATCAAAGCGGGTGTGGCGTGGGCGGTTTTGACCAAGGAAACCGTTTTGCAATCCATGCACATGCTATACCCCAAGAGCTAGACGTACGCGGACCCTTACGTCGCCCTGCAGCTATATTGCTATCATGAGCATAAACTCATGATTGGATCATTCACACACACACACACTAGGCTAATGTGAAAAGATTGTATTGTAGACCGAGTTTACACAGTGGGTATAGAGCCATGCTGATGCCGATCGTAACCTTAAGAGAAGAAGAAAAAAGCCCGTGGCCCCCAATTGACGGCATAGTCAACAGACACCAATCTGAAACAAAAAAACTACACGACGAAGAGCAAGAATGCAGGGCGATATGCAATCAGGCATTTAAAGACATGGATTCTCTGACTGCAAAAAGTTCATGAGCCGCGTGGGGTGCTTGAAGGTGTCTTGTTGACGAGGCTTGAGAAGAAGGACCGCAGTTTCTCGTTGTCGTTGATGTTGGTATCTTGAGTCTTGGGTGGTGGGGTTTCGGGATCGTCTGTTCGGTTGGCTTGGCGGTCCTGGGTACAGTCAGCTTTCTCTGCCCAAGATATCATGTCAAAGCAGATTCAGTCTCGGCTCACCTGTAGTCTCTTCACCATCTCATCGGCATTGACCTGTATACCACCCATGTTGAATTGAACAGGACCGATATGCTCCTCAACCACACCTGATGCGTCATCGGCCCAGGCTCGCGACACTGGTTCTTGTTCTTTGCGTGCAGCTTTAAGGGCAGCCTCGCTTTCGTCTTCTCGTCGTAGGTGCTCAAGCACGCTGACCTGCTCAGCGAGGAAGGCTTGTGGATCTTTGCTAGACACTTCGAGGCCGTTAGCCTGCTTAGAGAGGCTGGACAATGCGTAGTCGGATTCGGGGTTGCGGATCGTCTCCTCGTAGATTGAAGTCGCTGTGGGGCCCTGGTCCTCTTCCTCCGGGACTGGAGTTGGCGTTGTTTCGCCGTTTGTCTGTTCTTCTCCTTCAGTGGGTGCAGGTGCTTGGCCATTTGTTGGCCGCATATGGTTGGGGATGTCAATATCAACACTCCACTTTTCGCTTATGCCCTCCACATCGAATCCCTCGCGCAAAATGCGGATCTTTGCCCATGAATCCCAGTTTGGAGGAACCAACACTCGATCTCGGTCTGTGACATTGTGCCGCAGCTGCTCTTGTTTCAGTAGCGATTTGATCCCCAGAGTAGAATGGATGAGTGTTTGTAGCGAACCGGGTGCTGTAGGCATAGTGTAAACCAAACTCGATCCGTGCTTGAGAAGAATAGTGCGCATATACTGGAGGATAAAGTCGAATTCCTCCTCTTTCCATCCCCGCTCCTTTTCCAATGTCTCGATCTTGTCAGCATTCTGGCAAACAACACACAAAGGAATACCCAGAGGCTCATCCCACTCGCCGGGACCTAGCGGAACTTTTACACTCTCTAGGCTGCTTCCCTCGGCGGCTAGGTTGCGACCTTTGTCTTGCAAAGTTTGGATGTTCTCTTCTAAGACGACCTTAGACGCGTCGTCCAGTGAGACAATCAAGGACCTCAGCACTCGTATCCAGTCGCGGAGTTGGCGTATCCACAGCCACGGGTGATTCCAGTCCAAAAGTATTACGATGAGCATATGTGGGAGAGTTCGTGGATTGAGATAGGGTTTGATTAGTGGGGTGAAGGAAGGTGAAGGATTTGCGAGGAGGTACAGCGACAGGCGAGCGAGAGTATCTGATGGTGTTAGCAAAGGAGAATAGACAGCGCAATCTGTTGATAACACATACCCTCATGATCCGTATCCAGGACGTCTTGGTACGTATATCCCAGGGCGAACTGATTGGCAACGGGCGGCTTTCTGCCACGATCCGGCGGTCTCCGGTTGTTTGCAGAGTCTGTAGAAACTGATTCGAGAAAGTCTCGCTGTGTTTCTGGTGTTCCGCCTGCCAACCTCGAATTAGCTTTGTCCCCTATACCGCTTTTCGGTGGCCTCACCCAACACTAACAAACTCTTCTCCGGCAGTCGCTTTCCGCTGGAGATGTTGTCCAACATGGGCTTCCATATCTCCTCCCTGTCTGCATCTGCCGTGACTGGACGGTCATTGCTGCCCGGGGTGCGCGTGGGGAAGTTGGGGGTGCGGCGCGCGCTGGCCATTGCGGAGGTGGTGTGGACGGTGGCTTGCGTGCTGCCTGCTGCGGTCTCTGGTCTTGTGGGCAATCAAATCACGATGGACCAGAATTTGTGTGGCGGAAGAAAAAGGGGCAATACGGCGGCGGGGAGCGTGTCTTGCGGGGTTGGTGTTGGTGTAGTTGTTTCCACGTCGTGGGTACCTTTTCTGCAGGGATGCTGCTCCTAGCCCAGCCCGAGCTTCTCCAAAAGTTCATCTCCGAACACACGACACCATACTCACCACCAACCCTCACCATGAACTCAATCCGCGCCATTCAGCAGCTGAATAAGCGCGAACTCGAGGCCGGGATCAGTCCCGAAGGCTCCTGGCATACCGACTACCGCGACACCGCCTTCATCTACATCGGCGGCCTTCCCTTTGAACTCTCTGAGGGTGACATCATTACCATATTCTCCCAGTACGGTGAACCCGTATGGATCAAGCTCGCGCGCGACAAAGAGACAGGCAAGTCACGGGGTTTTGCATGGATCAAGTATGAGGACCAGCGGAGTTGCGACTTGGCGGTCGACAATCTAGGCGGCGCCAGTATTATGGATCGAATTATCAGAGTGGATCATGCGCGATACAAGCCCAAGGACGATGAGGACATGAGGGACAACACCATGGGGGAGCTCGATGTCGACCCAGGAGTTGAATCCGACAATGGGAGAGGGAAGCGCCGCAAGACTGAAAGCGAGTCTGACTCGGACGAAGATCGACCACTCCTGCCTGAAGAAATTGAACTGGGCCGTCTCATGGACAAACTGGATGAAGAAGATCCCATGCGCGAATCTCTGATCAAGCAACAACAAGAAAAGGTGGACGATGCAGTCAAGAGACTGAAGAAGCAGAGGCGCAAGGAGAAAGAGAAAGCAAAGAGAAAAGACAGACACAGCCGGAGAGATGGATCAAGAGACCATAATCGCGACCGTGATCGTGACAGAGAGAGGAGGCGAATCAAGGAACACGGCGAGCACGAGGAGCGGGACAGGCGCTCGCGGCGGAAGGAACATCGGAGCAAGAGTCGTGAGAGGAGTAGAGATCGCTCGGAAGACAGACATCGTCGACGCCGATCAGAACGAGTTCGAGATGAAAGTGAGGGTTCTCGAGATCGTCACCGAAAGCGCGACCGCCGGCGTTCGGCATCCGGCGAAAGAGAGAGGAGGCACTCGCGCACAAGAGACGCACGTTCGCCCCTGCCATACCGAGCTCGTTCCCCTTGACCGTCCCTCGAATGTCCGCCGATACTGAAACATTGATGCTTTTCCTCTTACCTTTTCTTGGGCCGAATAATTCAGCCCTGCCAAGATCTGCACGTCAGTGCCCAAGTCATGCGGGCCCTTTCCTAGGCCAGCCTATAATATATGCTTTCTGATGTGTCACACTCGATGTAGGTCTAAGACTACTATGCACACAAACAAAACCCCTCCCTATACTCGGTTTTTCACCTTGGCTATTCCTGAGTTCTACGACTACTTTGCCGCCAACGATGCTGGTCGTTTCTTCAAGACTTCTGCCTCTGAGCCTGGCCCTAGTGCAATGCCCGTTATGACAAGATGAACACTCTTCGCGCAAACGGGCTTTGGGGAAAGGCTTGTCTCCCCAACAAAATATATATACGCCACCAATACAAGACGTTGATTGCTACAGCCTAGGGTCTCTGTTTCACCAACTGTACAAAAGTCTGTTATAGAGATGTTTGAATCCGTGTAAAACGACATTTCAGAGTGTCCCTCCAGTATTCTTGTGGCACTAATGGAGAGGCTGACTGGGGTGAGGGCCACAAAGCGTCTATGATATTCCAGTTTGTATGCAGTACAAAAAGTTTAGAAAATCTCAATAATCAGGGTTGAGAAAAGATTCATAAAGGCAGCGAGCCCCAATAAGTTAAGAAAAGCTTGATAGAGACATAATACACGATGCTTTGAATTACCTATTTCTCTCCCGGTATCCACATGAGAAGCAGCGAGGTGATATCCTGATTCCACAACCAGGGACTATTGCGTCGAAAACTCCCTGCAGCCCATACAATATACGCTGAATGTACCCCAATCTCTGTGCGCTATTACTCATCATCTTCGTCGTCGTTGTCGTCATCTTTGTTTGTCTCTCCTTCAGCACCCTGCTCTTCCCCCTTGCCGCTCTCCTTTGTCGCAGATTTTGCACTTGCATCACCATCGTAATCTGGCCGTATCACTTTGATATCCTTCTTTGCGAGAGCAGATTCAATGAGCGGAGCAGCAGCGAGTAGTGCGTTGTATTGGTCAATGGATAGAGAGATGCCCTAATTCCGTTAGCGCTGCTACTGCACACCCAAAACACAAGACACTAATAGATGGGTACCAAACTTACCTTCTTTCCCGGCTTCGTCTCCCCAGTATCGGTAACATAGTATTCACGAATGCTAACGAGTGTGTTTTTGTTGAAATCGCTAACAGTCACGCGTCGCTTGCCACTGCTATTTAACTACAATTCTCGTGAGCACCCATTGCTTATGCTGAGCCAATTGTACCACTTACAGCAACAAAGGCATCGCCGTTATCATCCGTCTTAAGTTCAGGAACGACAGGCAACGAATCATCATCCTCGTCGCCTTTCACTTTCTTATTTGCGCGTGGCGCGCTGTCGTCGTCATCAGGAGAAGAGCGTTTGTTGTTAAAGTTTTTCTTGAAGCCGCCTCGGGCGCCGCCTCGCTTAAATCCTGCCATTGCTGTGATATGGGGAGAAGTGTGTGCGACAACGTGAAATATGAGTGAGGGCGCTATTGACAGCGATGACGCAGGGCCTGGTTTGACGCGCTAGAAAAAAACGCGCTAGAGACGCGGTCACATGATTGCATACTTAATGTCTATCAAGACATGGTTTCCTTAACTGAGTGGAGCGAATGTGTCTATTTTGTGGAAGCGAGCGTGGGAAATCGTCCATCTATCATTTGGCTTTTTTTTGGAGCGTATGCACGTTTTATATTGCGTGTACGACTCCACTCCTTATGCTGGAAGCTCCGCTCCATGGTCTTGATGGCCGAGCTGGCCGGGCTGGCTGTACTCGTTCTGGCTTCTGCAGACCCAAAGGACCGGAGATACTGCTCATCTCAGATCCAATTGACAACCTGCCCTCCTGGCTCACGATCGATTCTGCAGAGCTCATTCCTGGATCCCTCCCTACCGACTCTTTGGCCTGAGAAATATTCCATGCTGATGCAGTTGCATCATTCGCGTTTAGAGCTGCTTCCTGATCGTAGATACTTGGCATACGGTAGGGCGACTGAGGAGGGAAAGTCGTGGCGTATCCGTGAGAAATGCCAAGCGCAGATGCCGTTGGCTCAAAGGAGCAGCTTTCCTTTTCTCGAGCGCGTCTGCATGCGTCTACAGTGGCGCTGATGAATGCGATCAGAAAGAGAAGCCATCCGGCACCGGCTGCGATGAAGTGGATCATACTGAGGTCTACTAGCATGGCAAGCCTCCTGAGTTCTGGGGAAGCGGATATATCAAGAACTCTCTCGCCAAACGCATTTACGCTCAAAGCGAAACTCAGAGAAATACCAACTGCTGCTCCCATAGCACACATTCCCAGACATTCCAAGGGGACCATGATTGCTGAACGGATTCGGATGGGAGGTAGAATTGTTGCCAAGACCAATACGATGCCGATCAAGGAAGCAAGAGCAGTCTATATCGTCAGTGTTATGGTTTGAGCGAAGGATCGAAAAGCGTACTAAACCAATGGAAACCCAAGTTCTTATTGCGCCGGCGATGACAGCATCGAAAAACCTTGCCCAGAGTTGTTCCATCTCTTGTGATCCAAACTCAACACTATCGAGAATCGCATCACTACGTGCCTGAATATCACGAATGGTGAAAATGGCTACATCGGTTTGTTAGTAAAATTCGGCGCATTCATTCAGGAAAAAGAGTTATTCTTACACCAACCACCCAATCCAGTGACTCCCAGTGCTACAATCAGGGCCAGAGCCCTGAGAGTAATCAAAATAGACTTGCCACAACCCATTATGATATTAAAAAAACGAAATTGCAAACTCCGAAAAAAAGAAGAACGTATAGTAATATGCACAGTCCAGCTGGCAGCGGCTTCCAGAGCGCTAAAAAGAGAAGTAAAAAAAGGTTGAAGAAAGTTGGTGTGGCAAACGCAAGCAGAGGTCTCACCTTTGGCAGCAGACAGAGCATGATTATAGACGTCAATATCGTGACACCGTGCTTTCTCGGAGTAACGCTAGCCGAATGCCCTGTCTTGATGCCATCTGTGGTGCTCGCGGGGTTGAAACATCCCTTGTGGCTGGCTGTGCCTGACCCTGCAGGTAACACTGAATCTAGGCCAGCAAATACGAGTTTGCCCTTGGCTCTCGGCCCGAGACTCTGGTAGCTGACACGTACTAGTACGAGCGTCTTTGTCGAGGATTGGTGTCGAGGCGTTCACACTGGGCCGTCTGTTGTCACCTAGTAGTTCGTGGCGCATTCGGTTCCAACAACCACAGTACAGCGAGTGATCGGTGCGTCTGATATTGCTCCCCCAGAACCGTATGATGCGCAGCGTGGGAAGCGTCATGTTGCGCATTGGCATTCCTCTTTGTCCGAAGAATCGGGAGTGGCTGGGGACCTTGCTGCTCCACGTGATCGCGACTGAGACAAACCTGAGGCGACAAGGCTCGCGGACGTTACAAGGCTGAAACACCCTCGTATCCGAGCCATTCAACGTTCGTGTATTCTGTTGCCAGGCGCATTACTGGCAGTGAAGCTGACATGTTGATATCTGCTTGTGGGACGATAATGCCCTATTCACATTTTCCTGGGTGCGTACGTATGTAAGATGCGCTTTGAATGCATGCCGTGCACCCGATTAGCGAGCCGAGATCGAGAGTAAAGCGCAAGGTCCTGATGGATTGAGGTAATTATAATGACCAGCATATCTGTTATATCGAGCACAATATCATCTTTGGAGAAATAAAGTGGCCGTTTTTGTTGCACGGCAATCATCAAGCATGCATTATACTAGTGGCATTATCGGCGAGAGCCGGTGTCATACCAGATGGGGATTTTCCACGGCAACAGGCTCCAAGTACACTGGAAGTTGATTCAATCGCCATAGGATCCGCAAAAGCCGTTTTACATTTAATGGGGTTTCTACCTATCAACACAGTCCCATCACAGCCGGAGTTACAGTCGGGGTTCTTGTTGCTATGGGTGCCCTGACGGAGTTGATATAAATGAAACCTTGCAGATGAGAGAATCGCGAAAAGCGCGGCAATGAGCACACTTAAGTAGGCGCACTGGTGCGGATACTGCGAAACCCCCAGAACACACCCATTTTGATGGTAGTCTCTAGCATGTGATCGGCTTATGTACATGAGAGATGCATAAGTTTAGACCGACAAATTTGGAGCTTTGCATCTTCCAAGCAACGGTTACTACCCTCTGGAGGTGTCGCCCCTCCCCACTCCCCTTCATCAGCTGATGGGTTTTCGGGACAAAACCAACAGGCTATACGCAACATCAAAGAGAGGTTCAGCTCGCGCCGATACAAAGGTCGGCCGGGTGTTCGGCGGAAAGCAGCCCCAATCGACTAGCAATTCTCACTAACTCGATTAGTTCGTATCCCGATGATACAGTCAAGTACGCCTGATAAGGCAATCGGCCAATTAAGGTAATATACGTCGATAGAAGTCTTACATTCCCCGCAACTACTGTTTTGGTTAGGGCTAGTTGCCAAATAAAAAGAATGAATGAAATTGATTGGTTAAAGCTGTTCAATTATGCACGTTATGACAGCGGAAGGGAAACCTAGAAGATGGGGTAAACTACCCTCTCGGCATTTATAGCTTCAGACAATGTCTATAAATCGTATTGCTAATTAAGGCATACTACTATATAGTCGACCGGATGAGCCAACGTCCAAGTCCGATGTCCATTAGCCTCGCGCCCCCAAGCGCATCTATAAGCGCCGAACAGTGTGTGAGGGGCGCCCTACGCAAGCCCTCTCGGCTGCTCACATCAGCCCATACTTTAGAATATTTATCTTGATGGCTCCTCATCCTCCCATATACCCAACATGGAGCGTATCGCCTACTTTCATACAGCGCACACCGAACCTATCATGAGCACTTCTGCCTTGTGGCCATCAGATCACCCCAACGTACTACGGAGAGGCTCCCAGTCAAGTTGCCGATCCGAAGAGATGCGTACTCTCAGACGTCCTCAGATCTCAAGCTTCAATCGTCTCCCTACCGAACTTATCTTGAAAATCTGCGGACACATTTCTGCGCACGATCTCTGGCACAACATACGTCCCACGTCCCGCCTCCTAGCCATCTGTGCCAGAGAAGTACTGCCACGAAAGGTTTTCTCCGAGAGTAATATTAACATCTCCTGGTGCTGTTTCTGGTGCAGTCTTGGACGCCACTGTCTACATACAGCATGTAACCCCATCACATGGCTCTTTCCCGACGCCAAGAACGTACGCGTCGCCCTGATCAGCGACCGCGCAACAGTTGCCAAAGTCATTTTTGGAGATCTGTGCAATTTGGTCACGAGTTATGAGCCGAAGGTTCGTATTCGCCTGGGTGACGAAGCACAAGGCGTTAGGTGTAGGAGCAAAGCGATTCGACCACGAATACGACCGCATACAGCAGATTCAGCCTCGGATTTGCAATCACGCCAAGAAGAATTTGTGATGTGGTACTTTGCAACACAAAGACGGCAAAGGGCGAGGAGTCGAATACTTAGGTGTCTTGGGTTCGCTGCTCATCTTCTCCGTTTCTTCACAACAAGCGCTGTACTCCTGAGCGTCGGCCTGACACTCACACTTGTTGTCTACGCTATCCTGGAAATATGCAAGTTGGGAATGAGCTGTTACAGAACCGGAAGAAATTTCATGCGTTTCTGCATGGGGAAATTTCCGCTGAGGCAGTAGAAAAGGAAGGACAGTCATGAGGCATAGAAATGCCATGGGAAGCATGATGCCTTTTTTTCCATTTTTTCGCTCCGCGGACATTTGGCAGCGAAACGGATCGCCCGGTCATCAGCCGCAAAAGCAAGGTGTGAAGCGTGGTCTATTTATCCGACATATGAAGAACAATTGACAGAGAGATCAGTGCTCCATTAACATTTTGGCCAGCGAAACGCGGACCCTCTCAACAGACGTGCACATACATGTGCATTTCCAGCAGATAACTGGAGCGCATTTACCCCTCAATTTACTAGCAAGAGCGATCTACCCAACAATGCTCATGCAGAATGCATGGAACAGTCTCGTTCGGAAACCTGCAGTTTGCTCCACAGTTTGCATACCGAACCAAGTGGTTCATGATGGTGGGGTGAAGGGGGGTTCACTTGCGACTATCTACTTACCAAAACTTGGTAGTACTCCCCCTGCGGCCATATCGAAGCAGATGACAACCAGCAATGACACTTGAACTTGGGTTATAGAAGGATAGCGCACTATCATCATCCAACCATCTGGATATGCCCACGTGCTTGCGGGATGTAGCATCACGTTGCTACGTGATCATAGCTCCCACTCCACCATCAAGTTGTTGTCTGGTCGTGCGTCTTGCAACCTTCAACACGGATGAAAACATTAGTTTCTTTTCCATTCGTTCCGTTTCATATTTCGTTCGTATCCCATCCAGAAACTCCTTTTCGTTTCGCTACCTGTAACACATCAGTTCTATCTTTACGCACAACATACAACAAGCGGCACATTACTTTACGACAAACATGAACGACGACATGAACGACACTACGAT